AGAAAAAAAGCAGAACATAGACAAATAAATATCAGTATGTATATATTTTAACAATATACAACACATGTGAGGTTGCCTTGATTTGGAACCACGGGGCTTCTTCATATTGCCGCGATGCAGGCTACCTGGCCCTCTCTCTCACCGGAGGCACCAGCGCGGTCTAGGGTTTCTTAGTGGCGCTGAGTGAGCAGACCTTACACTATTTGGGATACGAGTATCCCCTATAGAACTGAAAGTATACACTATTTGGGGGCTTATGAACTCAGCAACTAAGGTTTAGGGTTTTGGGTTTAGGGTTTAGGGTTTAGGGTGGCCACCTTGCAGGGATCGGATCCCGAGGCCTTGCTGCTTGTTTCGTGGCTTTAGGTCTTTTACCACCCCATCCCGACGGACCTCCCCACTCCCATCCCCCAAGGAGGACGACATGAACCTTAAAATTGAGGGCCATATACCCTATACTACTATAGTTTCTGTTAGGGAATATGAGCCATAGAGCATTTTGGGGTTCATTTGGTCCCCAAGGATATAATAGACGACAACATGACTTACACACTAGAACGCACAGTGACAATCTAGAGAATTCTTGATTATACGGTAGCATGCTGCAATACACGAGAATATACTATATTACCCCATCGCCTATGGCAATTCCATTCACTGTGACATGATTCATGAATGTTCCATGCTATTCTGTTTTCTCTCCATAGAAGTGCGCAAACAGTCTAGAATATTCACGATAACGCGAACATGCTATAGCATGCTCTGGTATTCAATGCAATGCTAGAACACAACTTTCTGCCATTCAACCGCACGCTGTGGCAGATTGTAACATTGTTGACATATTGGAACACGAGCCAGTTTCATGTATACTGTGACAAGAAATGAGCAAGTAAACAGTAAACGTACTACACTGCACCGCTTTCAGCCTACGATGGTGCTCCGGTGTTCTAAGTCATAGCCGTGACTTGCGCTGCCGGGCTATCAAGGTTTGATACGTGAAAAGTGTTGTAGAACTCCGCGCAACGCTTTGCCACTCGATCCCTACAACAAGTCCAAGACAACCCGACAGAACCCAGCGCAACGGCTCCATCTAGGGTTCTAGGGTCCGGGTTCATCAAATCCCCTCGAGTTGTGCGACCGCGATCAGCTCTCCAAGCAAGAGGAGTTTAATACCACCGCCCCCCCCCCACCCCCCAAACCCCTATTCTATTTTTTCAGGCCCCTATTTCAGGAACCTCTGAACCCTAAACCCGAAACCCTGAACCCTAATCCCGAAACCCTAAACCCTAAACCCTAAACCCTAAACCCTAAACCCTAAACCGAGGGTTTTTTCTAGCATCCCAAGGTGTGCGAGTTTAGGGTTTCAGATGTCCGTGGAAGGCTGGTCGCTAGCCGCGAGCTCTTCCTCACATCCGTGCCACAACCTCAGTGAAAGCTGCCTACCTAGAACGGTTTAGGGTTTAGGGTTTCGGGTTTAGGGTTCAGGGTCTTTCTCTTCCCCCCCATCCCCCACGAAGCAACTAAGTGGTAGAAACCTGAACCCTGCACCCTGAGAACAGCCCAGCAGGCCTTGAGCCCTAGCCCCAGCTAGAGCCTGGTGGGGGCTAGTGGTCAGTGGTTAGGGTTTCTGAACCTTACAGGTTTAGGGTTTAGGGTTTAGGGTTTAGGGTTTAGGGTTTAGGGTTTAGGGTTTAGGGTTTAGGGTTTAGGGTTTGGGGTTTAGGGCCTTCGTGCGGTGCTCTTGCTCTGACGGATCCTTTGGGTTTAGGGATTTAGGGTTTAGGGCCGAGGTCGAGGATAAATGAATGGCAAAGTTCTTTGGGCGATACCAAGCCGGGTTTAGGGTTTAGGGTTTAGGGTTTAGGGTTTAGGGTTTAGGGTTTAGGGTTTAGGGTTCCTTCTTAATCTTGGGTGTCCTTTTGGGGATAGAAGGAATATCAACCCTGCTTCATTGACCCTATTGGTTTATGGAAACTCATGATTGTTGTGGGGCCTTATAGTCCGACCCCCCCCCCCCCCCCCCCCAACCTTTGGGTTTATGGTCATTGCGCCTGCAGGTCTATGTCCCTCCCCGACTATAGACCTTTAAACCCTAAATTTTTAGTCGTAGCCCTAAACCCTAAACCCTAAACCCTAAACCCTAAAACCTTTCAAGCCTTAACGTCCTAAGACTCCCTAGAGTCCTGTACGCCCCAGAAACCCTGCGAAGCCCAAAGCCCCTGCCCCTGACCCCGTCAACTCCCTTAAGCCCCTCAAGTCCGAACTCTAAAGCCCTAAGCCAGAAGCCCTTATAAACCCTGAAACCCCTAAAACCCTTAAAACCTGAAGCTCCTAAAACCCTTAAACACCCTAAACCCTGAAACCCCGAAACCCCGAAACCCTAATTCATCAAACCCCAACACCAGGACCCTTAAGCACTTAAAGCCCTGAAACCTCTCAAACCCTAAAAACCCAAACCCCCAAACCCCGAACCCCAAACCCTAAACCCCAAACCCCAAACCCTAAACCCCAAACCCCAAACCCTAAACCCCAAACCCCAAACCCTAAACCCTAAACCCTCAAACCCCAACACCAGGACGCCGCAACGGAGCCCCACGACCCTCCTCGCTGCGGACGCGATGCCTCCCAGGAGCAGAAGGAGCCCTTGGCCCCCTCAGCCATTGTCCTTTAGTGGAGGGTTTGGGGTTTAGGGTTTGGGGTTTGGGGTTTGAGGTTTAGGGATTGGGGTTGCGGGTTTTCTTGGGATTGGGGGCTTGGGGTTGCGGGCTTGGGGGCTTGGGGTTGAGGGCTTGGGTTTTGGGGTTGAGGGTTTGTGGTTTTTGGTGTTTAGGGTGTTTCGGGTCCATGGGAATATCTCAGCATACGCCGGGTTTACGGGTTATCCTTTGGCTTCAGACCGAAGCCCTTTGGGGTAGCTCCAAATAAATTTGTCTGGGGTTTAGGTTTAGGGCTTAGGGTTTTTAGGGGTTTAGGGCTTAGGGCTTAGGGTTTAGGGTTTAGGGGACTTTACGGTCAGTTCGCAGCACGTGCTGAGCGTAATTCTCCGTCCTACAGGCGGGGGGCACCCTCAACCCTAGACCCTAAGGCCTGTCGTCACACAGTGACAGTTGTGGGAAAAGGCTTCTTACGACGCTTAAGACTTCGGGCGTTATCACACCCCTGGGCGCTGATTATGTCTAGGGCTTGGGGTTGAGGATATATGATGGTCTGCCCTAAACCCTAAACCCTAAACCCTAAACCCTAAAACCCTAAACCCTAAACCCTAAACCCTAAACCCTAAACCCTAACACCCTAAACCTAAAACCCTAAACCCTAAAACCCTAAAACCCTAGAACCCTAAACCCTAGAGGCACCCAGGTTCGCGCACCTTGACTTGAAAGAGCCCTGCTCGCGCTCCACCCTTGCCGACGTCGAGGTCTGTGTCAAGGTTTGGCTTTGGGCCTGGCTCGGGCCTTCAGAGGTTGAGTAAGGGTTTAGGGTTTAGGGTTTAGGGTTTAGGGGTTAGGGTTTAGGGGTAAGGGTTCAGGGTTCAGGGTAATCTGTCCGCCCTTCCAGGAGTTGTCCGAGGCCACGTTCCCTGAGCTTCGCGTCACTGAGTCCCGGAACGCCCGCGGCTCTTTCCTTGGAGGTTGAGGGGGGGGTTTAGAGTAGGGTTTAGGGTTTAGGGTTTAGGGTTTAGGGCTTGGAGTTTACTCGGGCTTCTAGGCATGCCGGGGAGTTTCAGTAGCCGAAGGAGGCTTCTACGATTTATGGCGTGTCTCAACGAGCTTGTCGTATTGCAGTTACCGTGCTGAGAACCCAAAACCTTTCGATGAACCTCCGCGTGCTTGGGGTTGTTGGGGGCTTCAGGCAGAGGGTCCTCAACCCTAAAACCTAAAACCTAAACCCGATGCACCCTAAACCCTAAACCCTAAACCCTATGCACCCCAAGCTGTGTGAATAGCACACGCCCGGGAGAGCTCCCGGCGTTCCACCTGAGAGCGATAACGAACGCACGCCAGGGGAGGGTTGTTTTCTACCCAACAAAGCCCTGAATTCCAACTCAGCCTCGGGTTTAGGGTGCAGGGTTTAGACTTTAAGGATGTCTAGGGTTAAGGCCTAAGCACCAAGCCAAGAAAACCCCCCCAAAAAAACCCAAACAAAGTTTCTCCCCTAAACCCCTAAACCCTAAACCCTCTCTGCAAGAAAAGGCCCCTCTCCCGGCATGCCAGAAAGGAAGCGCGTGACGCTTCCTGCGAAGAAAGGGCTGTGCGCTTTGTTGGCGAAGCGGCAAAAGAGGGGGTTTATAGGGTTTAGGGGATGGAGCTCGGGTCTGTGGGTCTGTGGGTTTAAAGGGTTTGAGGGGATGAACCCTCAGAGTGGGTTGGAACCTCTTGACCAGGGTGCTGATGCAGGGGCTTTTGAGTGTACAGCGTAGGGTCTGGGTTCAGTCCAGAGGCCCATTTAATCAGCATGCCTCACGGATTGGTGTGTTTGCAATCCTATATAAACCCTAAACCCCGAACCTCAAGACTCGACCTAAAAGAGGAGAGCCCAGAACAGAACAAAAAGAGCGGCTAAAGTTGAGCTACGAAAGGAGTTTGGTTGCTTCAGGCCCCGAAGAAAGCTCTAAACCCTAGATTCTAAACTCTAAACGCTACAAAACCCTAAGCCAGTCACCCTAAACCCTAAACCCTACACCTCAAAAACCCTTCTCTTGCGTGAAGTTTGCGCCCGGCTGCTATCAAGTTTGGTGGTTATCGATCCTTAGATCCAGTCCAGGCCAAGGAGCCCCCCTCCCCTTTACGTAGCTTTGTTGGACCCACTGAAACCCCTTTGAACCTTCTCTCTCTGATCCCTAATAGCAACCCCCCCCCCTCCCGGTGAATTCGGTCAAGCTTCTAAACCCTAAACCCGTAAACCCTAAGCCCTAAACCCTCAAACCCAACTTACCACGGATTCCTTGCAAACCTTGGGGCACGCCACGGTCGGGCATGTTCTCCACCTTGGGAGCAACGTAGATGGCGCCTCGTCCGCAGTCTTGTGCTGAAACCCCTAAAACACAAAACCTCTAAAGCCCAGAAACTGTGAAGGGTTCAGGGCTTAGGGCTACCCTGGAGCCCTAAACCCTAAACTCTAAACCCTAGAACTGTAAGGGCTTAGGGCTTGGCGGCGGGCTTGGGGCTTAGGGCTTAGGAGTTCGGGTTGTGTCTCAGGCATTCAGAAGCCCACGTACGACGTCTTGAAAAAACCGAAGTCCCCCCTCCACCCTAGAGAACGCGGTTGGAAGGATCCTATATTTACCGCCCCTCGAAATTCTACGGGAGGTTGCAGGGTCCCTTCATCGGGTTTTGGGTTTAAGATGCAGGGTTTCGGGTTTAGGGTATAGGGTGTATGGTCAGTTGTTGGGTTTGGGTCCCTTAAGCTTTCTTCTAAAGAGTCGTGAAGTAGGGGCCCTAAGCCCCAAGCCTAAAACCCTAAACCCTAAACCCTAAACCCTAGAACTCACCCCGAGGGGAATACCCCAAACAAAACCCTTACGCCTGGGCTTCCAAAAGCTGCAGCCCTGGTGTGCGAGCCCTGCCCCCCTAAGTCTTAGCCAAGTTTTGGGGCCTAAACCCTAAACCCTAAACCCTAAACCCTAAACCCTAAACCCTAAACCCTAAACCCTAAACCCTAAACCCTAAGCCCTAAACCCTAAACCCTAAACCCTAAACCCTTACGGAACCCTCAGAGGACAGCGATGAGTTGAAGCTTGCGGACGACAGCTCTGCGCGCGCAGAGACGGAGGATCCCGAGGGCGAGGAGGCTGGGTAGTTGGGAAGTTTAGGGTTTAGGTTTTGGGTTTAGGGTTTAGGGTTTAGGGTTCAGGGTTCAGGGTTCAGGGTTTAGGGTTCAGGCGGCTTGGGCTAAAATTCCGGGCCTGAAGGCACCCTAAGGGTCCCATATGGTTCCTTGTGACTCTGGGTGGGTGTGCGTATGTTGGGTGTCATGTTCGCAATTCGAGGGCCCGAAGCCCTAAAGCTTAATCCCTATCCTATGTTCCCTAAACCCTAAACCCCAAACCCTAAACCCAAACAAAAACTTAAACCCTAAACCCCAAAACCCCTAAAACCCTTAACCCTCAAAAACCGTAAACCCCTAGACCCCAAAGCCCTTTGCCCTAAGACCCTGAAGAAGGCCCGAGTCGCCAGGACCAGTCGCCTCCCTCCATCCGCGGGCGCGACATCACGCTGACACTGAGACTTCTCTCGGGGCGTGAGGTCGCCCGACCGAAGTTCGGTGTTTCTTCTTTTTTTGGGGGGGTTAGGGTTTAGGGTTCAGGGAGTTTAGGGAGTTTAGGGAGTTTAGGGAGTTTAGGGAGTTTAGGGAGTTTAGGGTTCAGGGTTTAGGGAGTTTAGGGTGGGGATTCGGGGTTTAAGGGCTTCGGGGATTTTGCAGGGCTTTGGGTGCTCTAGGAGCTTTCGGGGCTTTGGGGTTTTAGGTCTGGATTCGGGCTTTGGCGGCCTTCGGTGCTTTGGGGTTTTTTACAGCTTCAGGGCTTCGAGGTTTTGGGGAGTTTAGGTTTCAGCTTTCGGTTTTAGGGTTAAGGGTTTAGGGTTCAAAGGTTTCCGCCGCAGGTGCATCAAGGTTTCGCAGCTCGACATCTCACCGGGGGTGCGTGGCTTGTTATTAGGGTGTTAGTTGGGGGATGTTCCCGTACTAACAGTCCTTCATCGGGGTTTTAATAGGGGGCACTCTAATCCCTATTAAGGACTGTTCGTATAGGGGGGAACCTCCCAAGTCTTTATTCTCACAGGGGGAGCCCTTATTTCTTCCTTTTTTGAGGGTTGTGTTCCCTTACCAGCCCCTTTTAAACCAAAAAGGGCACTCTTTTCATTTCAGGTTGCTCTTGGGTCTAGGGAAGGGCTCTAAACCCTAAACCCTAAACTAAACTCTAAACCCTGTCTTTGCCACTTCATACCCAAGCTTCCGAAATCCTAAACTAGGGACGGGCATCGGCTGGCTTACAGAAGAAAACCTGGAATAATGATTTTTTGAAAAATTTCTGAACAGATTTCTGAAGAAAACTCTGACTCCAAAAACATGTCTGGAAAAATGTATTAAATATTTTCGCGCTAGAAAAAACTCAGACTTTTTTCAGAAACTCCGAATCCCAGCTCCAGTGGCTGGAAAATCAGAAAAAAACCATGGCATATACAGCATATTTCTGAAGCATTTCCTGATTTTCTCTGAATTCTGATCTCCCCGCCCCCCCCGCCCCCCCCCCGCCCCCCCAACCCCTGGGGCCCTGGAGGGGGCATGTCAAAAAAAAATCAACACAAAGTGCTGTGTATGCCATGCTTTGCTGACTTTCCATGCCCCATGGCGGGCATCCGGACCAGAAGTTTTTTCAGAAATGTCTGGGCATCCGGACCGGGGAGGGGAAATCAGAAAAAGCATGGTTTCTGCAGCATATTTCTGAAATATTTTCTGATGTTTTCTGAATTCTGATCTCCCCCAACCTCTGGACCCTGGAGGGGGCATGTCAAAAAAACATCAAAAAAGTGCTGTGTATACTATGCTTTTCTGACTTTCCATGTCCCATGGCGCATCCGGACCAGATCTTTTTTCAGAAATTTCTGGGCATCCGGAACGGGGAGGGGAAATCAGAAAAAGCATGGTATATACAGCATATTTCTGAATTATTTCTGATTTTTTTCTGAATTCTGTTCTCCCGCTCGTAGGGGAGCATTTTCAGAAAAAAAATCATCATTCACGCCGAAGCAGATTCAGAAAATAAATCAGAAACTTTTCACAGACCAGAAAAACAATCATAAACTTTTTCAGAAATATTTCAGAAAAAATCAGATCCGCATTTGCTTGATAAGCCAGCGGTGCCAGTTACTATCCTAAACCCTAGGACCCTGATTCCCGAAAGCCAAAACCACTTCTTCGCGGGCTAGGTTCGGGGTTTAGAGTTTCCTCTCAACACGACTTACTGGTTTTTGGGGCTTTTGGTAGGGGAGTGCAGGCAGATGTACCTAGCTCCCGAAGTGACGGTTACGACGCAGCAAGTAATCCTTGTGAAACCTTCAACAACCGCAAGCACCCCACAAGGGAGCGCCTACGCGCGCGCTTCGAGCTGGGTGGTTTCGGGGGTGTAGGGCTGTTTCGGCTTTAAGGTCCTGAACACGAACGCGTCTAGGGGTTTCGCGTCCGCAAAGCTTCCTTGGAACTCATCGGGTTGGCTTCCGGAGCATAGAGGGTTTTGGAGTGCAGCAAGGTTTGGTAGCGTTTTGGGGTTTAGGGTTGAGTTTAGAGTCTAGAGGTTTGTGGGCATCAAGGGGTTTTAAGATGCTGTAGGGCTTCGGGCGGGGGTGGGGCCCTTCCCTGTTCAAGGTGCAGATCAGCATCAATGAGGACGGACCCCGCACCACTTGCACCTTTGCACTCAGAAGCTTCCTTTTCACGTCTCTTGCTTCCTAGCTGTTCCTGTCCCTAAACCCTAAACCCTAAACCCTAAACCCTAAACCCTAAACCCTAAACCCTAAACTCTGCTTGATACCATGCGACTTCTTCAAGTCGTGCTGGAGAGTGGGCCAAGGAGAGCAAAGGCCAAGGCTCAGAGGGAGCAGCTGTAGGGTTTAGGGTTTAGGGTTTAGGGTTTAGGGTTTAGGGTTTAGGTTTTAGGGTTTAGGGTGTAGGGCGTCAAGAAGTACTGCACCTTCGTGGTCCTCATGGGATATCTACCCAAAGGATCCATGTACCTGTGTAGTATATACTTGGGCCCTAAAGCTCCTATATAGGAATCCCTTTAAGGCCCAGGCATATGCTCTATAGGTACATGGATCCTTTGGGTTAAAGAATGCTCTACCGGAAATGGCTACAGAGCAAGCGGCTGCGTGCCGAAGAGCCAGAACGTTCTGAGCCTTGCACGTGCGGCAGATGCTGATGGAGCTTCACCCCTACATCTCCAAATCTCATCCCCGGCTCCGAAACCAGGGGCTTGGGTCACTTCCTCCTAGTAACAGGACGCAGCAACATCGTCCGAAACCCAGGTCGTTTGAATTGACGATTTCACAACGAAAGCGGTTGATGGATCAGGAATTTGATGGCGCAGGGTGGAGATTTTAGGTTTTTGAAGTTTTCGGTTTTTGGGCCATCGAAAGCCCTAAGACCCTAAAGCCCGGATGCAGAGCTCGGGGATGCTGAGGGTTTGTAGTGCTTAGGGGTTTTTGGTTCAGAGTTTGCTCCTAACACTCAGCGCCCTCAACCCCCTCTTTTGGGTGAGGATGCCTCTAGCAACCTAGAAAACCAACCCGAAGACCCCAAACCGCAGAACCCCAAACCCCTCTTTCTTCCAGGCGAACTTTGGGAACCCCAACGGCCTTCTCGAACCCTGAGCGTCCTAAACTCCCCCGAAGCTCCCTCAACCCTAGCATTATAGGGCATAGTGTTTTTGTTTTTTGGGGTTTAGGGTTTAGGATTTAGGGTTTAGGGTTTAGGACTTAGGGTTTAAAAGCTTAGGGCTTGAGATGTTGTAGGGTTTCGGCTCAACTCCTGAACTCCCTGAGACCGAAACTCCCCCTGGGGCACGAAGCTCAAAGGGGATGAGGGCTCGTACCCCGAAGATTCTACTCCCAAAGGTTCCCTTCATCTACTTCTCCTATGGTTTTGGGATTCCCTTAGAGATTCCTTTTGAAAAGGGGACCCCCCCAAAAGCCCAAGGTTGCAACCTTAAGGGTCCGAGGTAGAACCCCTAAACCCTGAACCCTAAACCCTAAACCCCTAGAGAAGCCGCGAGTGTGAAGGATGCGACCATGGCGGAGCTGCGTCGGTATATTGAGAAGACGCTTTGGCGGCCCTGAGTTTCAGGGGCTTTAGGGTTTAGGGTTTAGGGTTAGGGTTTAGGGTTTAGGGTTTAGGGTTTAGGGTTTAGGGTTTAGGGTTTAGGGTTTAGGGTTTAGGGTTTAGGGTTGTTCCCCCCTTACACTAGCAGTCCGTAATCGGGATTATAGTAGGAGGTACTAGAATCCCTATTAAGGGCTGGTAGTATAAGGGGAACATCCCAGTTTGGGGGTTCTAATTCGCGTGTTTTTGGGGAAATTTTGGGGGTGAGGAGCTTTTAGTGAGTTTAGGGTTTGGGGACTAGGGGTGTATGCAGCTTTTTGTTTAGAGGGAGCTTTGGCGTGCTTGAAGAAGGCAACATGAACAATCCTGAATGAAGATTGTTTTGGGCGCCCGATTCATCTCGACTACGTCGGGATTATCTTGGGGCCATCTTCGGTGTAGACCGATTGTGAAAGTACAGACGAGGGTAATCTAGGGTAGCATAGGGCCCCCCAACGCCCGAAATCTTAGGGTTTAGGTTTTAGGGTTTAGGGTTTAGGGTAGCCCCAAGCCCACTCAAAGCCAAAGCCCCAAAATCCCAAAACCTTAATCTCAGGACACTGGCCCTGCCAGCGCACCTCACACGGCTGTACCGCGGCCAGGCGCGAGCTCTTGTTAGGGTTTAGGGTTTGGGGTTTGGGGTTTCGGGTTTAGGGATTAGGGTTTAGGGTTTGCCATAAACCCTCAAGCCCTGAGCCCTTAAAGCCCCAGTTGGGATTTCGTCAGGGGTTTAGGGTTGTAAGGAGTTACTTTCGGACCTCAGAGCGTGCCCTTAGGGTCCCTTTAGCCCTTTGTTATTCCTGGGTTACTCTGGGACTCAGAAGGTTGAGGGCATAGTTCGGGCTGTTGGGCCTTTAGGTTTGGGGTCTAGGGCTAAACCCTAAACCCTGCACCCTGAACCCTAAACCCTAAACCCTGAAGGGTTTAGGCTCTTCGGTTGCTAAAGGCTTGAGCCCTGCGAGAAGATCCCACATGCCAGGAACAGGTTACGGCGGGCTACGACAGCACGCTCGCCACTGGGCTTTCTGAAAGAGTGGTTTAGGGTTTAGGGTATGTCGGCTACTGGCACTAGGATGGCTGTTGCAGTTTGATGATGAGTCCCGCCGCCGACCATCCCAATCCGAAAACTAAAAATCCCAAAGCACCCAAACCCGAAGCCCTGAACTAAACCCAAAAGCCCAAAACCTACACCTGAAAGCCCACCCTAAACCTTAAACCCTAAACCCTAAACGCTGCAAGCCCCAGAGGGCCTGATCCAAACCCCAAAAACTGCACCCCGAAGCCCGTACCTCCCCAAGCTCCTTACAGCTGCCGTTCAGGGTTCAGGGTTCAGGGTTGACGGTTGAGGGCTCAGGGTTTAGGGTTTAGGGTTCAGGTTTCAGGGTTCAGGGTTTAGGGTTTAGCCAAGCCGCGGCCCAGGAGAAAGCAGGGATTGAAGAGGAGTGTGTGCTCACAGTGGCCGGAACCCCAGGGCACGAGTGAGTTAGGGTTTAGGGCCCTAAACCCTAAACCCTAAACCCTAAACCGTTTCGGGCTTTGGGGATTCTACTAACTGCCGCAGAACCCCCCCCTGAAATAGATAATATTCTTTGTTGTAGGATGATTCTCTTGCATAAACCCTAAACCCCAAGCCAAAAACCCTAAACCCTCCTAGGTTTTGTTGGGGTTTGCTACGATCTGCTTCACCCCCTTAAAATTAAAAGCATGGTCTTCCTTGAAAAGGGCAATGTAGGGATTGGTATCCTTCATTTTGGGGGGGCTTCCTCAGCAAACAGTCGTTGAGTCCTTCGGGTTTCCGAACCTGCGCAAGCGAGCGTCGTTTCGCAGTTGCACAACCGGAGGCTTCCGAGGGTGGCCCTAAACCCTAAACCCGAAACCCTGAACCCTAAACCCTAAACCCTAAACCCTGTACCTAGGGGAAGTTTAGGGGGCTGACCCGGATCAAGGAAGTAATGGAGAGACCCTTACAAGGGACCTTAGGGTCTTTGGGGCTTCTGGGGCTACTTAGGTATGTAGGGACTATATAAGGTATATATCAGGGTTATACTTAGGTAATATGGGGACTATTTAAGGTGTATATATTAGGTAATATGGGGACTATTTAAGGTATATATAAGGGTTAGTTCTACTTAGGTATATATAGGGACTATTTAAGGTATATATATATATATATAAGGGTTATATAGGGGAATAGGGTGAAGGGTCCCTTCTAGTGGCCCCTCTTTATAACCCTTTCAACACCCCTAAGCCCTAAACCCTAAGCCCTAAACCCTATGCGGAGCTGCAGTTTGTATTCAGGAAATGAGTTGGTGTTGAAGGAAGAAGGGTCAACGTACCCGTTACTATTTGGCTCAAGATGGGCTTGAACAAGAAGCCACAAGTTCAAAAAGTAGTGCCTGGGCTCTTAGGGTTTGTTAAGGGTGTGGATTCCTTTCCCCCTTCTTTCCCCCCTGGGTTGCTCTTATCCGTGTTTTGGGTTGTCTTTTGGTTCGATCTGGGGAATATAAGTTTTGGGCGATCAGTGGGGTTGATTTCTTTCCTTCTTTGGTTGTCCCCCCGTAGGTTATGAGCCCAAATTAGGTTCCCTGCGGTTAAGTGTTCTCTCAAGGTTTTTGGGATCAAGAAGCAATGCCTTCTCCCAAGCGATGGCTCCAGCCTTCCTCGGATGGTGGAAAGAATGGTGGAGCTGGAAGTGGTGCAGCTGAGTCTCTGGGTGAAAGGGCGGCGCTGGAAGAGGTAATGCCTGGCGCTGAAGAACATCTGGAGGAAGCCTCGGTTGCAGAAGGCCCCAATGAGGGTATGAATCCCAATGCGGATATGGTTAGCAATGCTGAAGCTGAAGGACGAGCTGTTTCTGTATCGCCAAAGCCTGGGGAAAAGAGGAACTGGGATGCGACTGGCGGTATAGACCGTGAACTGGAGGTGACTGTTTTACGCGTGTTGCAAAGGCATGGGTATCAGCCGTCGACTTCAACTTCGGGCCGAATGGTAGACCAAGGGTCTCAGACCAATCTGAGTGGAGAAGTGCTGCAAGCTTCCAGGAGACCTCTGAACAAGATTAAAGAGGATCCCTCGGCAAGTTCCATGTGTGGTGGAAGCGGTTATGAACAGAAGGGTGCGGACAGCTTTGAAGCTGCACCAACTGCTGAATACGCCATGGGGGAGGAGGAGATCTTACAGATGGAGGCTGAAAGGTTGCGCCAGTTGTCAGAAGAAGCGGATGAGATGCGTCAAGTCTCTGAAATGGATGGTTTTCGGAAAGATGAGCATCTGATTCAAGCGTGTGATGGGACAACTTGGGAATGGCGCTTCCACGAAGATGGGAGACAGTACTACTACTGCCTGGATACGCAGGAAAGCAAGTGGACGTTGCCGGATGTAGGTGAAAAGATTGGATGTGACGAGGTGGTTGGGTCTCCTTCGGGCAATGAGCTGGAAATGGAGACTGCGCTGGGTCCTTCATCGTCTACTCCGACACCTGAGTCTACGAGGGCATTCCAGGGTAGTGGAAATAGTGTAGGTGAAAAGGATTTTTCCTCTACTATCGGGGATAGCAGTTTTAGGGCTGGTGGTGACGCCCAGACCTCGGGTTCTCCTGATGAGGAAGGAATTTCTGGAATCCGAACAGACATAGCTGGAGAACATCTGGATCGGGAAGGAATGGAAGCACTTTCTGAGGGTGTTGCAGCGGTGGAATCTGTGGATCCAGAGGACAAAATGCCCAATGCGGAGGTGGGAACTGTGCCGGCTGCGGAAGAGCGAGTGGTGGATGTGGTACCTGTCATTCAGGAAGGTGGTCCTGGAGATCTGGATGACGGAGGGAAAAAGTTGTGCATTACGACTGAGGAGGTCTCTTCGTTTGGTGCCATGAATCCTGCCATTCAAGGGAAAAATGAAGCTTCTGAAATAGCTGGAGACACGGTTGATCTGAAGGATGAGGCCTGGAGCGCCAATGAAGCGCGGGTCGATGTGCCAGATAGTGCCTGGAATGCAGAGAAGGCACGGGTTGAGGCACATATGGTTTCATGTTCCGCGGATGACTGCAACAATGGGGCGCAGGTCTCCGTAGCAGCCGACGATGGAGGCTCACAGGTGGACGCACTAGTGCAGCCTGAAGTTGGCAGCGAGGAACGGAATGGTGAAGGCTACACCGGAGCCAATGTGGCAGCTGTGGCCAATGATGGTGGTGATTCTCTTTTGGAAACCATGGAGCCAAAGGAGCCTGCGGTGGAAGAAAATGTGCCTGCCGCGGATGACCAATCAAACAACCCTGCAGTGGAAGAAAATTTGCCTGCTGCAGAAGGTTTGACAAAGGACTCCAATGGTGGGTCCACTCCCAGGAAGGGGGAGGTATTGCCGTCTGAAAGCTTGCCGGAAGTCGACACCGAGCGAACTGTAACAGATGAGGCAAAGCCATTGGCTGGAAAAGAGGATGGTCCTGAACCCCTTGAGCGCAAGGTGGATGATCTTGTGGGACTCGTGCAGGAGCAGGACAAGCAGCTTGGCCCAAAGGTGGAAGCAAGGGATGTTCCAGGAGCCGATGACAAGGAGATGGTTTCTGAAGAACAAACCAAGGAAGTGCCCAATGAGGGAGCCTTGGTGACACCTGGGAAGCATTGTTATCAAGCGGGAGATATGATTACTGGTCTGGTGCGCTACATCAATGTATATGGAGCCTTTTTGGACCATGGTGATCTGAATGTGCTGATTCCTGCAGAAGGGAAAAATACACCTTCTTTCAAAATTGGTGACACTGTCTGTGCGGCAGTGAAGAGGGTGGAAGATGATGGCACTGTGATCTTAGATCCCTACCTGGTTTTGGAAGAGGACGTGGAGGACTCTTCTTCAGCGCAGCGCAAATGGAAAGACGGCGGCTGGAATACGTGGTGGGAAGATTCATGGTGTGCTGATCAATGGTACCAAGATTCCAACGGTCAATGGGACTGGAAATGGGAAGAAGGGCAATCCGATGAGTGGTGTGCTGATCAGGGGTTATCCTCAGAAGAACAAAAGGAAAGGCAACTCTATGGAGAAAAGATCTATAGAGCTCTTCTGGAGGATGAAAAAGCTGATAAGGCCTATTTGGGCAAAATCACTGGGATGTTGTTGAGTCGTCCAATAGACGAGGTTATGGAGTTTGTTGCAGATCATGCATTCCTGAATAATGAAGCTCGGCGCGCATACAGCATCTTGCAAGGTGATGGTTGGAAGCCCGATGGTACAGAATGTGCAGGCTTGGAAGAAACAACCCACCTTTTCCCGGAAGCAGTACCACAACGCGCTCTACGAACTGGCACGTAAGAAAAGGAGATATAGTGAACCAGTCGTAGGTGAAGCGGTGGCAATGTTGCTAAGCCAAGGCAAAGATGAACTTTGGAATGCGCTCTGGCTGGATACCAAGCGGTTTTTGCAAGAGCTTGATGGTGCAGTTGAATCTATGAGTAAGAGGGAAAACAAGCCAATGGAAGCCTACATGGACCCGGATCAGTATAGAAAGGTTCACATGACGCCAAGAACTGTGTCACCAGGGTACAGCAAGCTGTGCAAATTCTTCGATCAAGGGAGGTGTCGCAATGGAAACGAGTGTTCCTATGAACATCGTCGTCATGGTGATGGTTGGCCAGAAAGAGGACCAACTGAGCCAAAGAACAGCCAAAAAGCTGGTGACGAGGATGGGGACATTGGTGACCCTCCTACAGATGAAGGCACAGTTGATGAGGCGCAGCAGGAGCGGGAGGATTCAGCCTTCAGAGCCAAGTACAACTTTGGTAAAGGTGCATCAAAGGGTGAGCCTGTGTCAGTCGAGTCAAAGAGGCAGATGTGTCTGCATTACAACCAGGGAGGTTGTAAATTTGGAAATTCCTGCAGATATTCGCACGACGAAAAAGCGGTTTTGGAAGGGACTTGGGAACCCGGCAGATCCTGGGACAATGCTTCTCGGAAAGCCATAAGGGACGCAGGGTTCCATCATTGCTGCTTCGATTACTATCTCAAAGGGAAATGTCGTGTGCGATATGGTTGCAAGTATTCCCACGACGAAATGTCTGAAGAGCGACTGGCTCAACTGAAGTATCTGGCGAATGTGGCGAACCAGGTTCGGTTTCAAAGAGAAAGAGGATTGGAGATTTCCGACAGGAATACCTTCCAACCACCGGTAAGTGGGGGAGCGGAATCTTCATCATCTTCGGCACCACAGGCGTTGCAAATGACCAATGTGTCAAAGAAAGCAGGTGAGGTTGGTACGCTGGATGGAGTAGATGGAGATGTACAAAAGGATTCGGTGGCAGAGTCTACCACTGTACTTCTTCAGAATCCGGAAGAGCCAATAGAAAATTGGATGGCTCGCAACCAACACTTGTGGGTGTATACGCCTCACGTAAGTGACGTGATGATCAAGCTTGGTGTGACCAACGTCAAGGAGCTACAAGAGTATATCTTCGTGGAAGATTTGGTGGAAA